ACACCAATATCAATAATAGTAATTAAAGGAGTACCATAAATGAAACATATACCTATGATCAAGCGGTCACCACTGAATGTCTGAGTCCCAGCTAAAGCAAACACTTTCCCAACAGACCGGTCTTTCTTAGATTTCTGGCATTGGGCACTGATATGTCCTTCTTCACCGCAGTTGAAACATATTACTTCCTTGTGTCTACATTCAGTTATCTCATGCTCGATTTTGCCACAAAGGAAACACCTCTTCACTTCAGTATTGCATTCGCTAGTCTGATGACCAGGTCTTCCACATTTGTAACATACAATAGCACCAGGAGCACCTCTCCCGCTTGGTCTCCTACCATCGGTATCTTTCTGCTTTCCCTTTTAAGTCGGAGCATTGTAAGGCTTTCCATGATATGGTTGTTGCTTGCCTCTCTTTTTAGTGACAATCTTGTAGTGAGTCTCACTATCTTCTTCATAAATCATGTAGTTGTTCATTAAATCTGGAAACTTATGGACCCGCTGATACCCAATTGCCTTCTTAATTTCCGAATGCAGTCCGTTTTCCAACTTCACACACTTTGAGAATTCAACAGCCTCTTCACTGTAATGAGGATAATAGTTCTCCAATTCCATGAATTTGGCAGCATAATCACTTACCGATAAATTCCCATGTTTCAGTTCCAAATATTCAATCTCCTTCTTCCCACGAACATCCTCTGGGTAACACTTCACTAGGAATTCCCTACGAAACACATTCCAAGTGATAGCCTCTCATGTGCCTTCCAATCTCTGGAGAGTAGCAATCCACTAGTCATCAGCCTCTCGTGCCAGCATATATGTACCAAAATGCACTTTCTGCGCATCAGAACAATCCATAACCCGAAATAACCTCTCAATATCCTTGAGTCACTCTTGTGCTCCTTCAAGATCATGCTTCCCTTTAAACGTAGGTGGGTGATTCCTCTGGAAAGTTTCTAAAGCACAAGCTATATCGTTCCCACCAGCGTTAGGCTGATTCTACATTGCCTGAGCCAACACCTACAATGCATTAGCGAGCGCACCATTTCCTCTTCCATCCATTGCTCTACTCACATCACAATATCAAACAACGGTCAGACAGATAAACATCAACATTATTCCACTGTCACACTACACTAATGACTCAACAACCTGGCCGGACAGACCAACCCGCTCTGATACAAATTGTAACACCCTATTTCCCCGTCAGAAATTTATGTAATAATCTGAGTAAATTAATTTCTAAATAAACATCAATCAAATAGGATGTCACATACTTCGCCAATCATACATGCTCAAATTAGGATACGTAACACAAATCATGTATTCAAAAGTCTTAAACTTTAATGTATTTATTCGCAGCGGAAAACATCAAATAATTAATCATCTCAATCCTCCAACTGAAGTTATAATTATAATCCTTCATACATCAACATAATTATAAAACAATTCAAATAAAAGAGTAACACGTGTTCACTCCTAATCATAACAAAACAAATCAGGCAAAAACCCCAAAGTGTTACGTATCAGAGCAGACACCAACTCAATCTACGTGACTGAAGGAACTCCTTAGCTAACCTTCGATCTCTAGCTACTTCGAATTATATGCATGTTATCCACATGGAGGTAACATTCAAACAGGAAGGGTTAGATATCATAACAATATAAGAGAAAGCATAATGATAAGCAGGTAAGATTCAAGTACATAATTAGCACATAACATACATCGTAATATAATACACGCTTTTATCAATCTTCGCCCATCGATTTATCAATCACAATATAATGCAAGGACTGACATGAATGCAATGCATGTGGTACCAATCAGGGTATAACCCTCTTCGCAATAATGCTAATTAGGGCAATCAACTTTGCTCGCCAATACAGGCCTTCGCTCGCCAATACATGCCTTCGCTTTATAAATTCATGAGACACTATCATGCAACAATATACTTTGTATTTATCATTATAATCATCACAATATCGCCAATACAGGCCTTCATCATCTCCTTCGTCATGTATCTCGTATCACACAATCACAACAATCATCGCAAATAACCACAACATAATTCATGGCATACAAATCAAAACACACTTACGAATCAGTAGCAACATTGATGAAATAATTAACTACTGCATTATAAATCATTTTTATAAAATAGGAAATTATTTTAGCTTTCCAACGGTCCAAACGGCACGTCAAACGAATACCCGAGGCAAAAGTTATGGATTTTAGAAGTTTTCAAAAAAATGTTGTCAGTAGCAGTGGTAACGGGTTACCCAGTTATGGGAACCGGTTACCGCAAGACAGTAGCCTCGTTGTTTTTCAAAATTCATCACGGTAACCAGTTACTCACTTATGGGAACCGATTACCGCAGGACAGTAGCTAAACCTCGTTTTAACTGTTGATATGGTAACCGGTTACCATATTTCGGGTAACCGGTTATCCTGTGATAATAATGGCAATTTCTGCAAATTTCAGGTTACGATCTTCCATGTTCCAACACCCAAAAGTTATAATTTTTACATCCAAATTCATCTTTTTAATAGGTTAATTATTCATCAACACTCATCTACCAATTCTAACCAATTGATATCATTCAAACACATCAAAACACACCAAAATCATCAAAATTCCATCAACGGGAGCAAACCCCAAAAACAACCAAATATGGAGAAATCGAAACATACGATTATACAACCTAAATTCTACCATACCCCATCATTAGGCAACCCCTTATAGAGTTAGAATACCCCCTTACCTTATGTTCTTGGTTGATTCTTGATTCCTACGGATGGAACTTCTTGCCTTAGCTTCCTAGTGCTCTTTCTCCTCTTCTCTTTCTTTGTTTCTATGTACTGACTCTTTTTCCTTATTCTTACTCTTATAATCTAATAATAATAATAACTATCTGTAATACGATGGGAGAACTGACTTGGTGTTTTGTGTTTTATCGTAATTGTTGCGGATAGCAAGAGTCGCCACCGACTTTTCTTTTATCCAATAAAGGAAATGGTGAAAAGACCAGGAAAAACCTTTTGAGAGTTTTCTTGAGTTAGGGGGGTAGGTTATGAAAAGGGGAAGTTTTAGCACCCTTTTCATCCGTAGTTATCTACGGGATCTTAATTTCTAGCTCACTTTGAAATGCTTTGTGTTTTGTATAAGTTTTTTTGAAAATATTTTGAAAACTCCTTCGTGCGACGAACTTTGTAATGATTCTCGTATCGTTGAGAATGTATACAAAGTGCTGGTTTTGAAAATATTTGTTGTTTAGAACGTGTTTGAAAGATGTTTTAAAAGTGTGAGGTGTGAAGATTGTTTTGATTTATGAGCAATTTACTGACTCAAAAAGTCTTTGTTCTTTTCCTCCTCCTTTAGATAGTTCTATCCTACCATTGATTGGTAGGAAGCCCTATTATCGATTGTGAGGGTCAGGCGTGCGTCATTGTACAGTCATAGAAGGCAACTTGTGAGACGCTTTAGAAATTTTTTCGTAAGAGACTCATATCGTTTTACCGAAGACAACATCGAAGGGTCATCGAGGGACTACAATCTTTTTTAAATCGAGAGTCTTTGCTAAAGCGTCCCATGTTCAAGGGACATGATTGTTTTTCTGAGGCAACAAGCGAGGTCACCCTAGAGGTGCACGTATGGAAAGCGTGTTTGATTCAATTTGTCTTGATTTAGGGTTGTCTAGCGGTCGATTTTAAATCTTGCCATACACGCCTAATTACTATACATTATAAGGAAATGCGGTAAAGTGCGGAAAATAAAATTCTATGCTATTACAACGCTTCAGGAATGGGGTTACAAATTTATGAATGGGGATGAAGTAAAAAGGCTAGTTAATCTATTACAAACCGTAAACAATTACAATAATCGAAAGAATGCGAAAAATAGTAAACTAGGAGCAAATGAAAAGAGAAAGAAAAATTATTTTTTGGTGTGTTTTTATAGAAAAGAAAGTAAAAATATAGAACAAAGATGTAATTAAAAAGTTATTTAATATTCTAAGATTATCAAAATTAGAATTCTAGAATTTACTAAATTAAATCTAAACTAAATTAATTATAAGGTTATTAAATAACATCTAATAAAAATTCCAAAGTTACTAAACTAAATCTAAATAAAATAAAAATTCTAGAGTTACTAAATTAAATCTAAATTAAATAAAAATTCTAAAGTTATTAAATTAAATCTAAACTAAATGAAGATATTAAAATAATTCTAAACTAACTTAAAATTCTAATTTACTAGATGAAATCTAAACTAAGTTAATTATAAAAATGAGGTATGGAACATAAATATAGGGTGAAGTAGAGTGAATTTTCGAATGGGCCTGAAGTTGAATCAGATAAAGCCCAAAACTACTTGTTAAAAATAAAAAATAAAAGGTATGGGTTAAGAAAGAAAAAAGATACAGAAAAGAAAAAAAATTCTCCCACGAGTCTCAAACTCGGTACATCACGCTTGCAGTCTAGCACCTCAACCATTATGCCATGTTCTCATTCGTTTATTTATTTGCTTTTGCTAATATGTAAACTGAAATTTAAAAGTTGGGTTGGGCCAAACAAAACAGGCCCAAACCCGATTTTGTGAAGGGAATAAGAGAGGGTTTTTGTAAACCCTAATTACAGAGGAAGGGCGCCGCAAACATAAGGTATGGGTACACAATTAATTATTTTTTATTCCCAATTTTTATTCAATTAAAAAAGCAATACAATTACTCCTCATACTCACAAACCGCACTTCATCTCTTCCTCTTTCATTTGTTCCTCTTTCTCTTTGATATACTTCCTCTTCATCACATTGTTCTTCAACTGTGACATAATTTACGCAACACTGTCCTTGGACGTTTCTTCTTCTATAGCCCTCTTTAACTTGGCCGCTTCTTAAAACTCTTCTTTATCAAACGCATCTTCTAGTTGGAACTTGAGAAGAGAGGCGAAGCTTTCAGCCTGTACTTGTGTGCATGTTTCAATATTAGCTTCCTATGCTAGCAAGGAATACCAAGTTTCTTGAGTTTGAGTGTTCTAGTAATAAGAAGTTTATGGAAACCTATTTCTGAATCGAGCTTGCCGACATGAGATTCGACTCCACTTCCAATTCCGTTTAGAAATTTCGGAATTCCAACCTTGACATTGTAGGATGATGATTTGGAGAAAGATCTAGAAGAAGAGTAAGATGACGAATGTGGGAGTATGGAGATCAAATTAACACTTCTATTTCTTATGACTCTCTGTAACTGCAACAATATCGTTGCCATGTTCCTTTCGGTTATCAATCTGATATCCATTTTGGCCGGAAGGGACGGGCGTGGCGGGGGAAATCGCACCAGAGTGAGGGCTAGGGTATATGAAATTGTTGTGTTGGAAGAAAGAATGGCTTGGGAAACACCTAACGAAGCCATCACCATGATTGGGGTTTGGAGAAGATGAAGATGGAGTTTGAAGATTGCCACAAGGTTGTTGTGGTGTGTGCTGAGCTGTTGAGTTGGGATAAGTTTATGGAAATAATGGGTTAGATGGCAGAAACAACGATGCTGATGAACGGCTGGAGGTGATGGAAATCGCGGAGAACGGAGGGGGTTACATGATGATAGTGAGGTTGAGGGAGAACAGAAAAGAAGTGATTACAGTGATGAAGATGGTTATGAGTAAGATAAGTGATAATGGAAGAGAGGTTTGAGGATACAAGGCTAAAGGTTATGGAGTTTTATGTATGGTTTAACAGTAACAACAACAACAACTGAAGTGGCTCAGATTTTAGTTTTTCGATTTACTCTCGGGTATGATTTCAATAAATAGAAAATAACAACAATAGTTTCATGTAATAACAACGCCAACTTATATATCTAATCTCTAAACAATAACAGTGAAACAACAATACAAGGAAATACAAAACAACAACATATTTATGAGACAAGAAAGGGAGACTTACAAGATTGGAGCAAGTCCGGTGATTCCGACTCTGACAATAAATTAAGAAAACCAGAGGTAAAAAATTGCTCCTTAACTTCTTCTCCTTCCAATTTGTTTCTGCTCTGTGCATGTGTTGTTGCAACTGTGTGTGACGCGTTCGTGTAGTTTGTGAAAGGTTGTGGTTTAGTGAGGATGAGTGAAAATGATAAGGTGAGAGTGTGGTTTGAGCAGAGTTTTATTGTGCTATCTTTTGCTGGTGATTTTCGTAGGTTTTTGAGCAGAGGTGAGAATGGAGGTTTTGGTGGAAGGTTATGGAGAAAGAGATAGAGATAGGTTCAAATATATGGATCGATGCAAAGCTTCTGGAGTTGGTTACAGGTAAACAAAATCTGAGCCCTTTGACTTACGAATTCTGTTACAGATTGAATGGAATGGTGAGATGAAAAATGTTGTTACAGATTGAATGGAATGGTGAGATAAAAATGTTGAGTTGTATATTTTCCTTGTTTTTTACTTAACGAAACTTTCTCCTTTCTATAATCTGAAGAATGGTTTATATAGATGGAATAATGGGTGTTTTTTTAGGGGAAAATGATGAGGTTTTAATTGTTTTGGCTATTATTTTTGTTGTTTTTATGATGTAGAAATGTTTTGCTGAATATGTGCAAATATTGGACTGATATGGTGCAGGTTTTTGGACTACTATGCAAGGCTGTTTTGTAGCAGTTTTGGACTGGTTATGCAGGGGCAGCAGGGCTGATTTTAGACAGCAAGGTGCAGAAACAACATGGTTGTTTTTGAGGTTGTTTTATGCCGAATTTGAGAGCAGGGCAGCAACAATTAGTGTAGGGCTGGACAACAAGGTGTAGAATTTTTGTTTGGTTATGAAGAACTTGGTAGCTTGAAGAGGACATCAAAGTTTTACAAATTAGGACTTAGGAAACTTTGTAGAACTTGCAAAACTTTAGAACAAATTCTCCATGATAAATCAAACTTGTAACTTTGAAATTGATGTAGTAATATGAAACTTTGAGTATTTTGAAATGTGCTTGTAATTAAACTTGAGATATCTTAGCATTAATTGTGCTCTTTCTCTTTTAAGTTCAAACGTTATAGCTTCTTCACAATTATTGATGAAAACCGATTTAAGACCAAAGAAACATTTGAGTTTTCTTTACGTGGAATTTTGAACTTGAATGAGGAATGACATGAAACCTTGAATTTTCTTGAATTGAAATTACATTCCAAAAGCCGCATAACACTTTTTTTCTTCTTCTCACCATGTATCACCATGAAACCTTGAATTCTCTTGAATGGTAAATTTTAAATCATGTTTAGGTCAAAACTTATCCACGTATCACCATGCTTTAGAGACTTCAAATGATTGAATGATCCTTGTAATTTTTTTTCCTCTTGAATTTTAATTCAACATTCTAATCAAATTTGCGTGATACGCAATGAAACTTTGAAAAGATGATGGTGCCTTAAACTCTAAGAAACTTACATTTTAAGATATCCAAATGAAGCTTCCTTCTTAGCATGCTTTAAACCTTAACCAAGTGATTTTTTTAAAAAATGAATGAACCTTACTTCAATTCTCAATTAAACCTGAACTTAAATTCCAAACCAACTTGCTTTTGCAAACAAATGAGAACAACCAAGTTTCAATCATAATGAATCCTTTGCCTCATGTCTTGCGTCATGCTTTGTGTCCAGTCGCTACAATAATAATTCCTTGACTTTGAAGGTGGAAATAATTAGTGGAAGATCTCAAGTTAACTCAAACACTACTTATGAAGAAAGGGTCCCCTGATGATAGAGTGACAACCCTAAAACAGTCTCCGTCGAAACATCTTTGGTGAAACCCTTAAAACCCTAGCTAAAGAATCAACCTTTATTTGATAAAAAAACTCAGAACAAAGTGAAACCCTAATTCGTACCAAACATTACTTCTCGATCTCATGCTTTATTGAATGAAATGAATTTTATGCAAATGACCTAGTGAGAATGATGCATATAAAATACAAAGCCTAAGTCAGATAAAAATAGAATTAGGAGGACAAATTTTGGGGTACAACACTGATCGTACCTGATCAGAGTTGGACCATCACAGTTGGCTTTGGGATGGATTTGAAGGAGATGGGTGGGGTACCTGCAAGACACTCCGATGGAAAAATGAGAGATGGAATGAGCAAGCAAGTGAGTATAAGTGTGAATGAATGAATACCTGACCCTCTCGAAATAGAGGGTATTTATAGCCCCCAACGCTGGGCCAAGGTCCCTTTATTGGACTGATCAAACAGGCCCAACAAAGGGACTTCCAGGTTCTACGTGAGTAGTGGGGACCTGCACATGGTCCCCTACCTGGATGATGCTCTCCGCAGAATAGGGAGGGTAAATACGTGATCTTCCCGGGACCCTGTGGACTCCGCGGAATCCGGAGAGGTTGAAGGTCTGCCCTACGAGGAGGGTACTCAGGAAGAGCTTGGATTAGGATGTACCTCGTCGGGCACCGACGGGACGTGGTCGCATTCGACCAGTTACCCATGATCGAGGTGTGCTCGAAAGATCTAATGCTCAACATGATACGTTGACAAGCTTGGATTGGGCCTCATTGGTGATTGGGCCACGGGCAGGCCCAGTCCAGAACAGGAGCCCCCCAAGTCGTTGCTCCTGGTACGAGATTTATGACTTGATTCAAGTTCGCCCTTTCGCGAGACTCGCTTGCGCGACACAAGGGTTTTCAATCGGGGAGGTGAGACATCACCCGATTTGTGATTTGCCCCGTGCAGCGATCGAGAAGTGTTCGAGGAGCGCTTGTAGAGAGCTGGTGACACGTCATTTAGACACGTGGTGTGGCTCTTGGAAACCATAATGCCGCCCTAGGGAGTAGGGTCATCATTATCTACGCGAGTAGGCGTCGAGGACGGGGGCGATTCGTGGTTCCCCGGCGCGACGTTTCATATTCCACGTCATCTCTATAAATAGGGCTTCAGGGCCCATAGTTTGTTTTCATATCTTCATGCTTCTCATATTTTCTCTGTTTTCAATCACCGTAAGTTTTCCTAGCGTCGCTGAGACTGCCGTGCCGTTTTCCGTGTGTTCATCTCCACCGCCGTCGCTCTTCACTCTTCTCCCAAGTAAGTGTTTTTTCCCTTTGATATCTCATATTATAGATAGATTTTGATGGTGTTTTAGTGGTAGAATCTCATGTCTGGGGGTTGTGTCAGAGAAATTTAAGCACCCTAGGCGCCTGATTCGTGACTGTGCCCGGGATATTCATAAGTTTAGGCATACGGTTTACGATCGTGCCCGTGATACTCATGCGTTTGGCTAGTAGATTTATGAACCTAGTCAGGATATTCTTCCTTTCGTTAGTATGTAGGCTAGTTTTCCCCATAGTATTCTTGTATCGGGCCAGCAACATTATGAACTTGGTCGCGGGATTCATCCTTCGCTTGCGATATTCATGTTATGCTCACGTCGTTCATGATTGATACACGTCCGCCGCTGAAGTCGGTGTTTGGTCGAGGTCTACATGTTCCCCGTTTTTCGTGCGAATGGCTGTTGACTCGGTCTGAGTGTTGCTTACTTCTCCCCGTCTTTGCGGCGGAAAGGCGGATTTGCTGTCGAGGAAACAAGCACTGCAGAGGAAACTATCAACCCGGTCGACACCGTTGATGACCCCACTCTAGATTGGGTTGGTGCTGAACCCCGGGGAATAGCTTCGATCTATAGCTTTTCCAGTAGACAAGCTTACACTATCGTCGAGTATGGCGGCGGCCAAGAGGGATTTCAAAGAAACTTTAAGATTATGAGGTCGATGAGGGATGCCCGTATCTATTCAGAGTTTACACAAGATGCATTTCCCATGTACGAGATCGTATTTAAAGATCTCGGGCTCCGGTTTCCCTTCAATGACTTCCAGGCCGGAGTTTTCAACCATCTTAACCTGGCCCCCTCTCAAATTCATCCTAATGCGATTGCCTCTCTCCGGGCATTTGAACTCACCTGTTGCTTCCTGAGGATTGGGGCGACGATTCCCCTATTCTTCAGGGTTTTTCACCTACAACGGCAGTCCCGAAGCACAACTGGGTGTCCCTTAAGTAGTCGAAGAGACTATTTAGGATGTATATGGATTCTGTGTGAGATTTTAAGGATAAGTGGTATATTTTTGCAACCGTCTACCCAGACAGTCATAGATTCGCTGTTCGAACCGGCCGCTGTGGTGGACGAGGATGGGGAGCCATGTTTGGATGCTGAGGGTAATCCCGAGATTGGGAAAATCTCTAAGTTTCCCATTCACTGGTGTTCGGGCCATTACGGCCATGGTCCTGGATACTACCACACTCATGCTGGGGGTATGAGTGCTGAGGACTAGGAAGCTTATGGCGTCTTGAACAAGTTTGTCGATGGCTTCTTTCCTGCTCGGTGGGTTACGAGGGAAGGGGACGATGTTCTTGATGAGGATGGCTATCCGACGTTCTAGGCGCGCCCGATCAATACCAAGGCGCTCGTCGAGTGCTAATCTTACGGGCAAGCCGTAAACCTCTTAGGTTTCTTGCTTTGCTCTATTGACATTCCTATTTATTTGTTTTCTTTAATGTATGTAGCTAACCCAAGTACGCTTCCTTTGCAGGTCACATGGCGGAGCGTCGCAAGAGGTTACTGAAGCTAACTCAAGACAAGAAAATTAGCAAGAGATTGGTGAGGCCGCAACAAGCCACGCGGATGGGCCTGCCTCCTGACTCGGGCAGGGAAGGATCTAGTGGGTCCTCAGGTTCCCCAGACACCAAGCGCCAATCTGCTTTGATCAGCAAGAAGCAGAGTCGACCATATGATGGGGCCGAAGTGATCGACGGAGGTACGGGCGCCAGGGCCTTCGGCCTGCCACCCTGCTTCGTGGAGAAGGATTTCTTCAAGGGGTTTCCCTTATCTGTATCCGATAACGAGGCCGACATCATCATACAGCTTGACAAGGAAGGTCGGAGGAAGCACCTCGCTGCCAGCATGGTCGGGGTGGTAAAAATGGCCGAGATGGCGGTTGTCCTCGCGGGAGAAGGGTCGGACTCCATGGATCGAGTTAGATAGTTGGAGACGGATAAGGCGACTCTTGCGGCCAAGTCCCGCAAACTGAAGGCTGCCCTCGAATGCTCTGAGGAGATGTTTCGCGAGCAGTCTGACGTGTTGCCGGGGGAGAAGGATATGGCCGACAGGGCTCTCGAGGAAAGAGATTTCTTCCAGCTTGGTAAATAACAGTTGGAGAGTGACAACTAACGGCTGTCGAGAGAGGTCGAGGACCTGAAGGCTGTTATGCTTCCCGCTGAGGACGAGCTAGAAGGGATGGTCGACTTGCGTATATGCTCTGACTTTACCGCTCGCATTCAACTCTTAGAGTCGGACTGTATCGGCGCTTTGGCCGATGGTTTTGAGGCAGAGGTGAGTCAGCTGTCCGCGCTAAATTCGGGTTTGAATACAGAAGGGGTTGGAGTTCTATCCCATATCATTGATAGCTGTGTTGTGCCTCCCCCTGACTCTCCTGATGTCGACATCGGCACTCCGGGAGTTGATTGATGCTTTGTTGGTGTTTGGGCCTGCGCGCCCGTTTATTGTTTTTGGGGCCTGCGTGCCTGGACTGTAATTTTGGATATCGTCGGCCCTTGTGGTTGGTATATTATTGATCCTTGTTTTATGATTACCTGTTTGATGAATGATTTATTTGCAATTATCTGATAATATTTTATGTATATGCTCGACTGTTATTTTGATAATGGATTCTTGGCGAAGTTTATGTTCGGGTGGAGATATCCGTTCGACCCCTATGTCGGTTCGACGCATTTCGAAATGTGTCGAATGCGCGGAGTGGAAT